AAATCTTGAGAGAGACGATGAGATTCGGATTGAGATTTTATCGAAAATAGTTTCATTCGTGAAGAATTTATATTCGAATAGAGAGTTTCTCACGACGAAGAAAAAGTTCATATTGATGCTCGTTGATATCATATGCATCACGACGAATCAAATCAAATTAGTTTTATTGGCGATGAAGATTTTGGATAGGATTAAAAGGAGATTGTGAACGGTTATCGAATTTGATGGTTGCAAAAGAGGACGACGGAGATTGTTTACCGGTAATTCTCGTAGATATTAATCGAAAAAATTAGAATCGAAGAGGAAACGTCTCTTTGACATTGCAAAGACGGAATAAGATTGTACAAATGGATATTTTTAATATTTTTGATTTTCTGCTAATTTTTATGTTTAATTTTAAAATAAAATAATTATATAAATTTAAAATTTATTTTTTAGGCAACATAAAATAAAACATTAACAAAATTAATTTTTATTTAAATAAAAAAATAATACAATGTTATTTAAAGTTAATAATTAATTGAGATGGTAAGGGTAAAATTGGAATATTTTTTTTGTTGTGAGTTCGTGAGTATGAAAATAACAACATTTAATTGTTTGGGTGTTAAATCGCACCGTTTTATTAGTATGTGTATTTTTCTTCCAACCAAAAATAATTGGGTATTAAACGTCCAAATAAAAAATACATGAGGTTTTTTTTGGGAATTTTCCCCTTTTATTTTGGGCATCATTCTAAAGCCGAATTCAAATAAAATATCGACTTTCTCCTTCTTTAAAATCAACATTTATGAAAAATGTTTGTAGAACACACACAAAAAACATGACTAACTTTTTTTTTAGTTTATGTATGTTTGTGGCTATTCATTATCAAAGAAATATAAGCGGTCACCTGAAAAGCATTGCATGTCGAAATGTACTGCATTATATCATAAATGATTAAAAGTGATAACTAATCATTTTTATTAGCCGGCCTAAACTGTAGATTATTGTAAGAAAAATTTGTGTGCAAGGGAATACTATTTTTTTTTTATAACTAAGTAAATTTTCAGCTTGGAGTGTATATTAACATGAATTAATGAAAACAAAAAGTTTAAGAAAATGTCAAATCACAGCAGATTTTATCATTTTTATGGTTATCGTATAGAATAATTATTTAATGAGATAACGTATTATCTGCGCGCACCTAACTAAGCACAAACTTCACGCATGATCGTGATGTATGAGTACTTAACATCAACCAAGCAAAAGTTAAACCTAATGCATCAATAGCAAACTTTAATGTTATAAATATCAAAATTTCTTACAAAAATACTAATACGAATCTTGCCACAATTTATCTAATTATATCTAGTCATATTATGTTATTTAATAGTTTTCAATTTATACAGTTAAATCTAGTAAACATTGCGCTTGGAAAAGTGTAAATATTTTCACAACACACTTTCGTAAATGTTAACAAACATAGAGCAAACACAATTTTTAACATCAAACAAAGAAAAAAATAGAGAAAAGAAACTTGAGTGTTTTTAAAAATTAAATATAGTAGAATGAGATTATTATAGGAATTAGGTTAACCCGCCTAATAAATGTCTCGTCCAACTAATCCAAAACTATGTTAATTGTAATTTAAATTTGATACATCAAACCTATTTCTGGAAATGATTTTTTTTTTGGGTCAAAACTAGTTCCTCTTTGGAAACCGTTACACGGTTCTAGTGACTAATACACATGAGAACTAGAATACAAATGCAGGTGTTACATCAAACTTGAGTGATATCAAAAAGAGATTTAATTGAATAGAAAAAAGGAGAAGAAAGCCACTAATCACTATGATAGTACACATGTCACACATTCACAACTATATTTTCACAAAATGTAAATTACATAATTTCGTTCGGCTTATCAAATTGTGCCGCGCCGCATCATATAACACGCAGCATACACTATAGTGTCTTTTCCAAATACATACTATTGTGTCAAATTGGTAGGATTATGTTAATGATTTTTGTTTATCTCTATAGAAAACAATACTATCTTTTTAACTAAATCATATGCCGTGAGAAAAAAATACAGATGTTAGGATCACAATTAATTAAAATTTCTAAGCCCAACACTAGTGACTTATCCAGATTTTTTTTTGAAAATTTACATCAATATGGCAAAAAACCAAAAACCGAAAAAAACTCGTAATGCTTTTTAGCCTTTTAGGCAAGAAGATGATGAAAATATGAGAGAATTGAGAATTGAGGAGAAGTAGGCCCATCTCTCTCTTCTGTTCATAAATGAGAATCATGCTTTTTCTCTCTCTCTCCTCTTCCATTCCTTCCTTTTCTCATTCTTCTTCTTCCCCATTAACAGCCCAATTCCACTATCTTCCTCATCATAATAAGCACTAATCTCGAGAAGATAAAGAGACAACAATCACCTCTCTATCTCTATCTCTCTCTCTGTCTCTTTTGTTTCTTCCGTTTCAAAGTTTCTTCCTTTTGGGCGGGTTTTAAGGAAATTTTGGAACTTTTCTCTTTTTGGAGACGTTTCTTTAATTTCTGGGCTTCTTCTAGTTGTCCGGTTTTGTTTTCTACTTCTAGCTACTGTGTCACGCTTTTCTCTAGCAAACTTTGATCCCTCTTGATGACTATTTAACAAGATTAATCTGAGCTTTTTCTCTGGCCTTCTAATTATTAAAGTCTTCTTCTGTTATCTATTGTTTAAGGTATGGCTTCGTTGTCTCTTCCTCTTACCTCTGCTTTTTGGTGCAGAGTATTTGAATTTTGGGGATATTAAAAGTTGCCTGAAACTGAAATCAATCTCTTGTTGTTTGTATAGTGATGGGTACTGAAGAGAAGCCTCTTAATTCTCTTGATTCAAGTCATGGTGATTCTTCCCCTGCTTCAAATCAGGTACATATACTAACACATACACATCAAATTTATGTATGTATGCAAAGTATTGATTTTTGGTTTCAAAGATTTGAACTTTGAATGAATTAGATGTATCTGTTGAATGGAATTGAGAAGATTAGAGTTTTGTTGTGCTAATTCCTTGCCAAAAATTCATGCTTTTGGTTTTGGAGCAGATCAAAATTGTTGCTTGGGAACCTTAATCTCTGATTAGTGTTGTTTAGTTTCATGATCCAAGTGATTACTTCTCTTGATAAATTGATGTGTTGTTTGAATTCTCATAGAACTCTTTTGTTACTTTCATTTTTTGTTCTTGATGAGAAGGCTGAAGGATCATCTGCTATAACAGAAGAGACTTCTGCAAGTGTTCAACAATGGAGGCGAAAGAACCTCTCTTTACAGATACCCCCTAGAGCAGCTGGTCTCTCTCCTGAAGATTCGGTTGTTATCAAAATGCCTCCAACGCCTAGTCCAACTCCGAGAAGAGTCAACTTTGCTTTGACTTCAAGTTCTCCAGGTCCTACTCCTACTCCTACTTCTTCTGTTCTTCCGCGTGGCAAATCATCCCTGAAGAATCTATTGCCAAAAGCTGGGTGTAAACCAAAAATCTCTAACACCGATATCGAGAAGGGACAAGGGAATGCCTGTTCTCCTTCTGCATCCCAGGAGAAGGCTTCGATATCGAGGTCTTTATCACTTTCAAAGTTATTTACACCTAGGATCAAGAGAACTTCATCTCTACCTGTGACTCCCATTATTCTTTCAAACTCAGAGTCAGCTCACGGAGGAACCAGTGTTGCTCCTCAAACTCCAAACGTAAGCTTTGTCATGTACCATTTCAGAGAACCTTACGATTGTTTAGGTACTTATACTTGGTATTGCAGAGAAAAGGGAGTGTGCACATAGCTCGCTCTCGCTCTGTGCCTCTTAATGACAAGGAATTAAGCCTAAAGGGAATGGATTCATTCTTCAGAGTAATTCCTTCGACTCCTCGTGTAAAGGAAGGAGACGTTTTCCCAAATGCATCAGAGACTGGTAATACTGGTAAGTTCATGTTTCAATCGGTTATATGGTTTCTTTTTCTTCCAAGATATTTCTTTACTGGACACAACAAATCTATCTTAATGTATTGAACAGAAACAGATGATGCTGATGGAGAAGACATACCTGAGGATGAAGCAGTTTGTAGGATTTGTTTGGTAGAGCTCTGTGAAGGAGGAGAAACCTTAAAAATGGAGTGTAGTTGCAAAGGCGAACTTGCTCTTGCCCACAAAGATTGTGCTCTTAAATGGTTCACCATAAAGGGTAACAAGACTTGTGAGGTGTGTAAACAAGAAGTTAAGAACTTACCTGTAACACTCTTACGGATCCAAAGCCTTCGAAATTCTGGTGTTCCTCAGCTAGATGTCTCGGGCTACAGGTAAAAATACTCTTCATTTTTCATTCTTGTACAAATTTTCTGCAAGATTTGAACTTCACAGAGTGTTCAAACTTTCTTTTGGTTAAATAGTAACCTGAATCTCTGCATAATATCTCGACAGGGTTTGGCAGGAGGTGCCGGTTCTAGTAATCATCAGCATGCTCGCTTACTTCTGCTTCCTCGAGCAACTCCTGGTAATCCGTCTCTATTGTTTATAATCACCCTTAACAACAACTAGCATCCGGAATTAGACATACATATACTACAGATAGATATCTATCACAGTAAGTTTCATATGTAGGTTGAGAAAATGGGTACAGGCGCAATCGCGATATCACTGCCGTTTTCTTGTATTCTTGGTCTTCTTGCATCCATGACCGCATCAACCATGGGTAGGTCTTCTTTTAGAAAATACTCTTGCCAATGTGCTCCTCCACTCTGATCCGTTTTTAGTTCTGGAATATTCTTATGCAGTAATGAGAAGATTTGTCTGGATTTACGCATCTGTCCAGTTTGCCTTGGTTGTTCTCTTCGCCCATATATTTTACTCTGTGGTTAGTGCTCTTCCACACATCTTTTTTTCCTTCCCTTGTGAGACATATAATAATTAAACATGGTGCAATGCATATCCTTAAAGCTAAAAGCACTTGTGAGCTTTTGGTTTAGCCAATATAGATCAAGACTTTTGAGATCCTTACGAACAAAACTCGACATAAATGTGCAACCTTTATCATATATCAGTCTATAAACTCAAAAGTTTTTGTTGCTAAAATTCGACCTCTGGGTGGTAACAGGTGAAGTTGCAGCCAGTACTGTCAGTTCTTCTGTCAACATTTGCTGGATTTGGTGTATGCATATGCGGAAGTTCAGTGATGGTTGAGTTTGTGAGATGGAGACGAAGATGGCGAGCCAGAAGGCTAGAGCAACAGCTGAACCAGGCTCAGACACCGCCCCAACCGCTGGATCCAACAACCTCTCTGCATCATTCGAATGCCTCATAGAGTCGATGGAAAGATGATTTTACATTTATACAGTAGTTTGGTTAATGTAATGATTTGTATAAAAAGAAAAGAGAAAGTGATCAAGGGATGCTTAAAGATTGTTTCCTTTGTTTGTTTTGCTTCTTTACATACACATTTGTATTGTTGTAAGTTTGTATCTTTAATTTGCTCAAATCTCTGCAAATGAAATGTTTGTAGTAGTATTGGTTTTTAAACTCTTTTCTTTGTGTAATAAAAAGATTTTCCCGTAGTATTATTATTACTCACAGAAAAATAATCAAATAACAAATTGAACAAAGAGAAGAATAGCCGTCCCGAGTGACTCGGGCTTTTGCCCGGTATCATCCAGCTACGTTAGTGGAGATAGCCGGTTCCTGTCCGGCAAACCCAGCTTCTATGAGTGGTTTTGGCCGGTTGTTATCCTTTTTCGCCGTCGATCGGTTTTATACCGATTGCTTTTCGTTCCTTTTCACGTTTTGTTTCAATAATTTCTATGAATCTGAGTTGGTAATTAGTTTTTTGGCACTAGATGCTAAAAATTAATATTTCCAGCTTGTGTTTTTAGAAACCTCGATTTGCAGGAAATCTATCAAACGATTAAGTCTTGGTCGAAGGATTGAAGAATATTCCGATGCATATTACCATTCCCTTATGCCGTGTCTTTCTGTAGGAGCTCCGTTCAGTGTTATTTCGGTGGTAAACAAGGATTCTTCGTGCGGTGTTTCGACGATGTTTTCCTCACCGGATTCGGTACTCGTTGGCGGCAAGGTTGATGTCGGTAAATTTCTGATGATGACTCATCGGCATGTGTTGCAGTTGTAATCTCAAGTCTACACGTGTCTTTGGATAGAGTCCAATGTTAAAAATCTTTTGCTGTAGATGTTAATCTGATGGGCTATTGTTGGGCCTCACTTTTCTTGCTGTGCAATCGTTGTAGGCTTTTAGGCCTTGTATCCTTGGTTTAATAAATTTCACTTGAGAAAAAAAAAAAAAATAACAAATTGAACAATTGGGTCACGAGGTAATCACGTGCCAATTTCCTGAAAACTCTTGTTCTCTGTTTCTGAAAACTCTTCGTTCTTCTTCTCGACGACGGTGTCGAGATTTGCACTTGCGATGAATTTCTCCACGAGGCTCGCTGAGAAACTTCCCGGAATCTTACCGGCGCCGTCTTCTCCTCTCCTGCGTAAAGGTTTTTTTTTTTTTTTAATTTGTTCTGTTTTTGGTTTTCTGAGAAAATTGGATTCAATTCAAAGATAAAACTTTTCTTGGTCTGTTTGATTTGAAGTAACCTTTCGTGTTCACTATCTCTCTACCACTTATCATTGTCTAGGTTTCTGTTAAATTTCTATCCTGAATCAAGTAAGATAGTTTTTAGGTCGAAAGGTCCAGTTTTTCGAATTCATCAATTCTTTCTTCTCGTGCGTGTATTAGGAGTCTCCGAGTTAAGATGCTTTTCAATTGCTAACCACAGTAGAAGACTGAGATGGGGATTACAAAAGAAGATGGTTTGGAGTTTGGAGAGAGCTGAGACCTGTGTAGTTAGCAATTCATGTTTAGTTCATCCTGCAACTGAAGCCTATGCACAAGAAGCTATTGAAGCTATCAAATCCGAGAAAGTTATCGCTGTGCCTACCGATACGCTTTATGGCTTTGCTTGTGATGCTTGGTAATTGAAAAATCTTCACTTTGTTAGCTGAAGTAAGCTTTTACATTGCCTAGACTAAGTTGTGATTTATATAAACTTTAACAGTTCTTTAGAAGCGGTTAACCGGATATATGAGATCAAAGGGCGTAAACTTACAAGCCCTTTAGCCATCTGTGTTGGCGATGTATTAGATATCAAGAGAGTTGCTACCACAAATCACTTACCTCACGGTTTACTCGATTCGCTCTTGCCCGGTCCAGTCACTCTCGTACTTCAACGAGGTTTGAATTGAATTGTCTTCTTAATGTGGTTGCATGTGATATGACCTCTTTATGTGAGAGTGTTCTTGTAGTGTTTAAACAGGTGAATCAAGCATTCTTGAAAAGTCGTTAAACCCGGGGATTGGTACTATTGGAGTACGGGTTCCAGATTGTGAATTCATTAGAGAAGTATCGAGAGGTTCGGGAAGTGTGTTGGCTCTTACAAGTGCTAACCTAAGCGGTGATAGAAGTAGTGTTTGTGTTAAAGATTTTGAGAATCTTTGGCAGCATTGTGCTTATGTCTATGATGGAGGTTTGCTTCCATCGGGTCGCGCTGGATCGACAATAGTCGATCTGACGAAAGTCGGAAAGTATAAGATCATTAGACCCGGAAGGTATGCAATAGTTGATTAGATCAATCCATGCGGAGTAATGAATCTAAAGTCTGAATATTTGTTGGGTTCTTGAATTAAAATGACTTAAAATAATGTTGCTTTTGTTGTTGATTTAGCGCGAAGCAAGCAACAGTGGCGATTCTTGAAAAGTATTTGCTGGAAGAAGAAGAAGAAGACCGTTAAGAGAAGAAAGCTTATAACACTCTGAATCTGAGGTTTTGTTTTGGTTCTTAGCGAATGCAAATGCTACCTACAATTTTCATGGTACGCATGTGTAATTTAAAGAAACTTGGTGGACCGTTTCATAATTTTTACTTATTATTCTTATTAATATTCCTCCATTTGGAAAATGAACTTTGTTGTAATTTTATTAAATTTTATCAAATATTAATGAAAAATTTCCTGTTATTTCCCTATTTTTAAGAACAAGACATTATTGTATCCATATTCTTTTCTTATAAAGGTGTCAAACTGTCAATTATTCAATAGAGGAAAATCTTATGAACTTTTTTATACAGGGGTCAAAGTTGAAGAAAAAGATAAATAGAGGACCTCAAATTTCATTTTCCACGTATCCGTGCTCTAATTTTATTCCAAATCTGCTAAAACATTTAGACTATAAAAATGTCATTGGTCTTGGCTGTTTCTAACACACTCTAAAACGTTTTATCCTCAGTTTCTTTCACCACCTAGCTTCTTCATATGTGTGAAAATCATCAATCCCTCTCAAACTCTTCTCACCACTAATTTCTTCCTCTGGAACATTCTCTTCTCTATTTTTGATTCCTTGACTTCAACACTGGTTTCTCAATTGCGTGATCTTGGCTTGCCTTCAGGTACTGTTTTCATATCTCTAAAGGCTTTTCTCAAATTGGTTATTGGGTCTGGTTCGATTAGTTTCTGTGTTATTTCATCGGGGAACGAAAGATAATTTAGTTGGGTAATTCTGGGTTTTGCGAAATTTTGGTTGATTTTTGCTTCAGAATCAGAATTTGAAGCTAAAAGAGTTATGCTTTTAGTATCCAATTGCCACGATCTTCACTGCAACCAAAATGGATTTAGGAAGAATATCAAAGTCAGCTAATTTTGTTATGTGACTATGCAGTTACTTTGATTCACTGAGAAAGATGGCGACTGGAGTATTGCCAGCTCCGGTTTCCGGGGTTAAGGTCCCGGATTCGAAACTCGGGTTTGGTAAAAGCATGAATCTTGTGAGAATTTGTGATGTTAGGAGTCTAAGATCTGCTAGAAGAAGAGTTTCGGTTATCCGGAATTCAAACCAAGGCTCTGATTTAGCCGAGCTTCAACCTGCATCAGAAGGAAGCCCTCTCTTAGGTAGACCGTAGATGCATGCAAATTTATCATCTTTTAGCTTTGTTCGAGTTTTCATTTCGGTGAAAAGATTGTATGTTATATCGGCTTTGTAGTGCCAAGACAGAAATATTGTGAATCATTGCATAAGACGGTGAGAAGGAAGACTCGTACTGTTATGGTTGGAAATGTCGCCCTTGGAAGTGAACATCCGTTAAGGATTCAAACGATGACTACATCTGATACAAAAGATGTTGCTGGAACTGTTGATGAGGTTTTTCCATCTGTCCTTTCAAATCTATTTGCAGTTTGAAAATATTGCTTCCATTTCTTGAGATTTGTGACCTCATTGCATATGTATATGCATCAATATATGAAAATTTGGTTTTAGATGTTTGATTGGTGTTCCGTCGTAAGGTAATGACTGTTCTGTTGACATTATAGAGACACATGTTGTTTGTTCTGTGATATAGGTTATGAGAATAGCTGATAGAGGAGCTGATATTGTGAGAATAACTGTTCAAGGGAAGAAAGAGGCGGATGCGTGCTTTGACATAAAAGATAAACTTGTTCAGCTTAAGTAAGTCGATGGCCATACTTAGTTTTCTCTACGTTTGTGGAGTTTGAGTAGTATGAAACTGAATTGGTGTCCTTAGTTTTCTCTACGTTTGTTTGTGGAGTTTGAGTAGAATGAAGCTGAATTGGTGTTTTGCTTGTTGGTTACAGTTACAATATACCGCTGGTTGCAGATATTCATTTTGCCCCTGCTGTAGCCTTACGAGTCGCTGAATGCTTTGACAAGATCCGTGTCAACCCCGGAAATTTTGGTATGGTTTATTTTTATCTTTCACTTGTTTCTTTAACTCGAGAATGAATGAGTTTTTTCCTTTGCAGCGGACAGGCGGGCCCAGTTTGAGACGATAGAATATACAGAAGATGAATATCAGAAAGAACTCCAGCATATCGAGCAGGTGGAAGGAAGCCTTTGTTTCACTTGTCTTGTGAAACTAGTAAAGTTTTAATCAGTCTTAACTAATAGTGCTACTCTTTTTCTTTAGGTCTTCACTCCTTTGGTTGAGAAATGCAAAAAGTACGGGAGAGCAATGCGTATAGGGACAAATCATGGAAGTCTTTCTGACCGTATCATGAGCTATTACGGGGATTCTCCGCGAGGAATGGTGAAATATCTTAAAGCCTTTGAAACAGCTTCTTACACATGAGCTGTTATCTGACCTAAGTTCTGTCACAGGTTGAATCTGCTTTTGAGTTTGCAAGAATATGTCGGAAATTAGACTATCACAACTTTGTTTTCTCAATGAAAGCGAGCAACCCAGTGATCATGGTCCAGGCGTACCGTTTACTTGTGGCGGAGATGTATGTTCATGGATGGGATTATCCTTTGCATTTGGGAGTTACTGAGGCAGGAGAAGGCGAAGATGGACGGATGAAATCTGCGATTGGAATCGGGACGCTTCTTCAGGTACCTCATTACATAGCAAAATGTAAAGATCTTTCCTTTACAGTTCATGTATGGCAATGATTGTTTGTAATTGCAGGACGGGCTCGGTGACACAATAAGAGTTTCACTGACGGAGCCACCAGAAGAGGAGATAGATCCCTGCAGGCGCTTGGCCAACCTCGGGACAAAAGCTGCCGAACTTCAACAAGGCGTTGTATGAATAATTCTTATTCAGATGCTTCTCTAGTTTCCACTTTATGGGACTAATGCAACCCTTTTTGTGTATTAGGCACCGTTTGAAGAAAAGCATAGGCATTACTTTGATTTTCAGCGTCGGACGGGTGATCTACCTGTACAAAAAGAGGTAAGACTGTACAATTTGAAAAAAAAGTTTCATGACTTCATGATGTCGTTCTCAAGTATTGAGGAAATATGAAGTTATTCGTCCTGAAAATTATAGGGAGAAGAGGTTGATTACAGAAATGTCCTTCACCGTGATGGTTCTGTTCTGATGTCGATTTCTCTGGATCAACTAAAGGTGAGTCTTTATAAAAAGACTCTTCAGTCTTCTCTTCTTCTTAGTCTATTTCTTTAACCCCAAGATTTAATGCGGATCATTGTCTTTCTGCTCACTACTTTGGTTGTCTAGGCACCTGAACTCCTCTACAGATCGCTCGCTACAAAGCTGGTCGTCGGTATGCCATTCAAGGTGAGATATGGTTCAATATATTTTCATGAGAGATGCAGTCTCACTTTAATAATTTGATATTGGTTCCCAATTCTGACTTTCCTGAGGAATGCTTGTATAGGATCTGGCAACTGTTGATTCAATCTTATTAAGAGAGCTACCGCCTGTTGATGATCAAGTGGCTGTAAGAATCATCCTAACTTCTCCGTATCACGTACTTTAAGATTTGACATGGCTGAGTATAAACATTGAGTTCTGTCTACAGCGTTTGGCTCTAAAACGGTTGATTGATGTCAGTATGGGAGTTATAGCACCTTTATCAGAGCAACTAACAAAGCCATTGCCCAATGCAATGGTTCTTGTCAACCTCAAGGAACTATCTGGTGGCGCTTACAAGCTTCTCCCTGAAGGTGACCCATTCTTACAAATCTTAATATAGAGAACAATTTTCTTTCGGCATTTCTTAACTTCGGTTATTTCAGGTACACGCTTGGTTGTCTCTCTACGAGGTGATGAGCCTTACGAGGAGCTTGAAATACTCAAAAACATCGATGCTACTATGATACTCCATGATGTACCCTTCACTGAAGAAAAAGTTAGCAGAGTACATGCAGCTCGGAGGTAATAATTGAAAATTCTCAATATCAAATCTTTTGCTGTGTTAAAAGTTGTGATTTTTAAACGCTAAGTGATATTCTTTTCCTGGACTTGTAGGCTATTCGAGTTCCTATCCGAGAATTCAGTTAACTTTCCTGTTATTCACCACATAAATTTCCCAACCGGAATCCACAGGTAGATAACTACTGTCGAGCTTTGTGAAGTGAATGGAAAATCCAGTTTTGACCTTATGATGTTTTCTTTCTTCTTGCGCACAATGCAGAGACGAATTGGTGATTCATGCAGGGACTTATGCTGGAGCCCTTCTTGTGGATGGACTCGGCGATGGTGTAATGCTCGAAGCGCCTGACCAAGATTTTGAGTTTCTTCGGAATACTTCCTTCAACTTATTACAAGGCTGCAGAATGCGTAACACTAAGACTGTAAACCCGCGAAGAACCAGTATTTCTGCATTTTCTTTCTAAAAAGGGGACGTAATAACTTGCAAAATCATCGCAGGAATATGTATCGTGCCCGTCTTGTGGAAGAACACTTTTCGACTTGCAAGAAATCAGCGCCGAGATTCGAGAAAAGACTTCACATTTACCTGGCGTTTCGGTTAAAACTCAGACTCTATACAAGTTATCAAGAAAAGTTTTCCTCTTTTGGTTTTGAATGTAAACGAAATGAATAATGGTGCAGATCGCAATCATGGGATGCATTGTGAATGGACCAGGAGAAATGGCTGATGCTGATTTCGGATATGTAGGTGGTTCTCCCGGAAAAATCGATCTTTATGTCGGAAAGGTAACACCTTTATTCTTGGGTTTCTTAGTGAATGTGTTTATATATATAACTCGGAGCCTTCGGGTGACAAAAGAATCTGATTTTGATAATAATTTGTGGACAGACGGTGGTGAAGCGTGGGATAGCCATGACGGAGGCAACAGATGCTCTGATCGGTCTGATCAAAGAACATGGTCGTTGGGTCGACCCGCCCGTGGCTGATGAGTAGATTTCAAAACGGTGGAGATGGTTGGCCATTCCCTGAAATCTGAGAGAGAAGATATATATATATTTGTGTGTATATATCATCTGTTTGTTGTGTATTGCATCATCTTATTCAACAATGTCCAAATGACCAAATCTCTAAATTGATAACAGCTCTCAGGCAAAATAAAATTATCTATATGGAACTGGAAGTAGAAATTCAATATTAATTAATCAAAATATGAGCTCCTATTAAAAAATAATATTATAAAATAAGTAAAACGTCGTTTAAATTAATATTTTTTTATATTTTTTACCCATTAGAGAAAAAAATCGAACTTGCACAGTAGAAGAAAGAAGAGAAACCGAACAATCCAGCGATTCCTTTGTCTTCACTTGTTCGTTTCTGTAAGCAAATTCTTCCTCTGTGTCTTGGTTTTTGATTCTTTGTTGTTGATATTCTTTTGTAATGAGCTTTGTTTAGGTTTCATTTCGTGTTCCATCATCGTCTTCTAGGGTTTCGATTTTTCTTCAGTTTAGCTACTGTTTTTGTTGTTGTTACTCTGCTCGGTGAGAGTGAAAGAGAAAAATGTATCATTTTCTTCTTTTGACTTTAGTCGAGTTCTTCCTGACTAGGTTGAATCTACATACAAAATTAGTGGGGTTTTTTTTTTTTTTTTGTGTTTTTATTTCCACAACCTGGTTTTGAAATCCTTAGACTTTGCCTTGTTTCCTGGAAATTATTATCCTAGGTTTTAGTGATTTGTATTCTGATTGAGTTCTCTGAAAATGATTTTGTTTGATTAGCTTCAGACAAATTCTCATAGAGTCATACGAGTTTTCTTTTTTTTTTCAGGGTTTTGTTTGATGGTAATAGAATCTTGTGTTTGTTAAGATATGGACAGAATCAGTGGGTTGCCTGATGAATTGCTGGTGAAGATTATATCGTTTGTTCCAACAAATGTTGCTGTATCCACTAGCATTTTGTCCAATCGATGGCAGTCTCTTTGGAAGTGGGTGCCTAAACTTGAGTGCGATTGTTCTGAGCCTGCTCTTTGGGATTTTGTTCGTAAGAATCTGCCACTACGAGCTCGGATCATAGAAATATTGTACCTCAAATTTCGTTATGAATCATTTCAACCGGACGATGTCATATTCTGGGTTGAATTTGCTGTTTCCCACTGCTTGCGTGAGCTATGTATCGACTATTATGATTACTACGCCCAACCAGATTTATTATTTTCCAGAAACTTGTATACCTGCAAATCTCTGGTGACCTTGAAACTCGAAGGCTTGGGTATTCTTGTGGATGTTCCTCGCTATGTTTGTCTCCCTTCTTTAAAAACTTTGCAACTTCGTGTGGCATACTCAAAAGAAGATTCTCTTCGGCTGCTTCTATCCTATTGCCCTGTTCTAGAAGATCTGGTTATTGAACTAAATGATGAAAACAACAATGTGAAAGCGTTAGTTGTTATTGTCCCGACTTTGCAGCGTTTATCCTTGAAGATAGCTAGTTCATGTTCTGATGAACGGTATTTGATTGTTACCCCTTCTTTGAAATATTTCAAAGTTGAGGATGATAGAGACATTTTCGATGCTTTGATTGAGAATATGCCAGAGCTGGAAGAGGCAGATATCTATGTTACGCAACATATCGAGACGCTTCTCGAATCAGTTACATCTGTCAAACGACTTACACTACGCCAATTGTACAACACTATAGATGAGGTAATCTGTTTCTGTCTATCAACTTTAAGTTCTCAACTTATAACACTAAATCTGTTACACGCCCTTTCATGTGATGTGTGCAGTCTAAGTATCGTGCTGGTATAGTGTTCAATCAGCTTGAACAAGTGAAGCTATCCATATGCAATGATTATTGGTCAAAGTTAGTCATCTGGTTGCTCAAAAATTCTCCTAAACTGCGAGTTCTCAATCTCTACGTTGATGTAAGTCTCTTCATTGACTATTTTTGCTAAAAGCTTTCTATGGTGTAATCTTGAGTCTGAGTCTCTCTCTCTCACACGCCCACTCAGAGTGATGATGAACGTTATGAGGAGTATGAACCGGATTACTGGAAGAATATACGAAGATCTGTTCCTAAAAGTTTGAAGAGCAGTCTGGTAACTTTGGAGTTTGCAGGGTACAAGGCAAGACCAGAAGAGAGAGATTTCTTGAGTTTTATCTTCAAAAACGCTCGTCGCTTGAAGACTTCATCAATCTCGCATTGACCACAATAGAAACTTGAGAGTTTTATCGCATTTTATTCTGAATCTTCTTGTCCAAAAACAATTTGGTATTAAACTGAATATGGGAACTTGCTTAAGAACGAAACTAGTGTACCTTCTTATCATGTGGTTAGTCCTATGATCTGGTTATATGTGTGTGTGTGGCATAGTCTTATGCTTGTTCAAGATATTTCAACTAAATCCGAAATACAATTTAGTTGAAACAAAAGCATACGAGCAACATGAAACTAAACATAACAAACACAAGATTGCTTTTAAATAATTTAATTTTCTTCCTGGCTATCAATTATATATATGATCTATACTATTAATTGGGAATCATTCTAACTTAAATAACCTTATAAAGTGTAAGATATTACAAAGATTGCCATTAGTTTTTAGTGTTTTTAAATAACTTCATTAAGGGTACAATAGTAATCACAAAATTAATATATTTAAATTAAAAATAGTTTAATTCTTTTAAATAATTATTAATTTCCAAAAAATTAAACTAACTTTCTCTCTCCTATTAATTATAAACGAAAATATGAAATTAATTTTTAAAAAATTGTTAACCAATGAGAATTGAACTAAGATTTGATATCCAACTAAGATTTTATCTAAACCAATCGTAATAGACTATTCTATATCAAAAATAAAAAGAAAAATAATATCATTTTAATTCAAAATTAAAAACACTATCGTATAAAAGATTTATCAATGGAGGACTTTAAGATTGAATTTAAAATTTCATAAGAAAATTAAATACAAATATTTTAAGATTCAGTTTTGTTATAATATTTTCACAAATTTTAAAATATAAACCAAATTTTATTTCACAATTTCTAAAATATGATATTAGATATTAACAACTATTTATATTTACTATGAAATAAACTCAAATAATAATAAATTTAAAGTAATTATCATTATAGCCTTCGTTTAGAGCAAGTTTGATAAATATCTAAGCAATAGATTGTATATATTAATTTCTAAATTATTTTGCGTTTTATTTTTTGTTTTTCAATCGGATCTTCCTTAAATAAATCCCTAATATATTGCACCCAGTTTTCAAATAATGTAAACTAATTATATATTTTGAATTCAAAACAAATTATGCAGCAATAGCATATCCCTTTTAGAGATGTATTTCAAATTTTTATTTTTAGTCCAAAAATCAAATTAATTATGATTAAACAATAAAAAGAAGAATATGCAAAATTTTAGCTAAGGAAAGAAACATTAATAAATTTGTTAAAATATATTTGTAATTTAGCAGCATATATATTAATCTGCAAAACTCACAGTATGTATTGTATGGTATTTAAAAGTAAGCAAACAAGAATTTGGAACATGATTTTAATGGAATGAAATGAGAATAGGAATTACGAGACGGGATAGGAGGGGAACATAAATTAAAAATCAAACTAAATACCCAACTGGTATGAGTTCGGGTTATGAGCACTATATAAAATAAATTTTTTTACATACTGTACGTACGTTTTCACTTACACATATTCTATTTATGCCGGATACTGGACCGTCATATTTTTATTTCACGTATACGATACGGGTTATGGGACTAAGAATTTATGACATATAAAAGACGAGATAGGTTTCCCGTTCCAAAATAGTTACGCCTAGCTAATATACATGAAATAACCAAACTCAAACCGAATCTATATCCTATTTAACACATGTAATCAAACTATTAGAAATGTTTTGATTAGTTTAGAAAATGAATAAAGTAACATCATTTAATTTTTGCAACTAAATTATATCTTAGTTTTATCTTAAATATAATTTCGCACGTACGTGTAGGTCATGATCTTAAAATATAACTATGCACTAACGCAACTGAATTTCGTTCATTACTCTAATTTTATACTCCCTCCGTATTTTAATAATTGTCATCATAAAACATTAAAAAGTAATAAATTTTGCATAGAAATTTGAAAACGACATCTAATTCAAAAAAATAAAAATTCTAAAACGACAATTATTAAAATACGGAGGGAGTAATATTTATACTATTATAAAGTTTACTAACACAACAAAATATTTTATATTTTTAAAATCTATATAACAATTTCTATAAAAATATCTCTGCACGGAGGTGTGAATCCATATATAATACACTAAAATATATATCATAGAAACAACGAAATAATTTATATTGAATTAAAATTTGTTAAAAAAATTTTAAAAATATGAAACCCCGCACGTATGTGCGGGTCAAGATCTAGTATATCTATATGATGGAAACTTGGATCCCATGACCAAGTTTGTAATGTAGTTGTTTGTATTAGTGTCATAACACGAATTTAAGTCCAAAAGTATGTGAGTGAGTTGAGTAATTAAAAAAAAATAAAGCTTAGATCCAAAAAAGGTCAACATTTTCAAAGATATAAATACATTATACATTTGTTCACAAATAGCCATTATATTTCCTTTCAATTATAACACTCTCATGACATACAAATGTCAATATGGCAAACAAGAAAACAAATCATAAGAAACACAAAATCACTTTCTTTTTTTTTCTCCTTCAAATAGTTGGGACGTAACGTTTTTATTCAATTTTACATCATTATTTTAGAAAGATACGGTGTAGATTTGAAGGATAAAAAAAGACAAATATATATGATTTAATCAAATAAGCAGCAACACACAGGACCGGTGGGTTTGTCGAAGAGGCAGTGGCCGTCCATGGGTGTAGCGTCGGTGCTCCTGTGACAATGTTTGTCGCAGTCACTGTCGTTGTTGCACGTTCCTCTTAAGCGGCATGGTCCGTCCATTACTTCTTTTTCTGTTTTTATGTAAATTCAACACACATATCATGTATATTATTATTATTAGGTCAAAAAATATTTTATATATAATAACATGCCACAAAAACAAGTTTTGGTTTTAAAGATATTTGTTATTTTGAAGGGAAAAAGCTTATAAGTACCTGCGGATCGGGCAGTAATATTAATAACGAGAGAGAAGATGACGAGAAGAGCAACAAGTTGAAATCTTGATGAAGCCATTTTTCTCTTTTGTAATGCAAGATATTCAACTTTAAATTTGTGTTTGGAAAATTATGATCTAGTTTCGGGGTTTTATACGTTAATTTAGTTTTAAAGATAGTAATTTTGTTTCTTTTTAATAGTAGACCATTTTTAGTCAAGGTAATTTATGGTTAATATAGCAATAAAAGAAAATAAATCTCCTCAAAATAGAATTCGCTATCGTTTCTTACTTCTAAATTTGGTGAGGATATATATGAAAGAATGGACGGTAGAGGAGTGACTTTGATCACCTGAAAATGTTAAGTACCTCTACGCGTTGACTTACAATTCAATGCAAACACATCCAGTGCAATGTCTATATATAATATGGAAGTATCTTAGGTTTAATTAAAAATATCAAACATTGATATTTTTTACCAAATTTTAAGAATATTTCTTACTAATTGTATAATTTTTTAGACCAGAATTTATACATTTATGTATTGGAAGATCATATTGATGTTTTCTAAATTCTATCTATACGAAAAGTCGAAAACATTCATATCTATTTGCGACACATCATCCAACATAACATGTCCAAGATCATAAGTCTCAAATAAATATTATGCACACGTTACTAAACCAACAACAAAGAAAACAAAAATCTTATTGATTACCTTGTAGAGTCGCCGTCAAAACTAAATCTTATTAGTATTAGAAAAATCTTATATTGAATGTAAAAAATGGTATGTGGTAGAGTAATACATAAATGATCCAAGCATTTTTATTCTTTTTCAATTGATTTTGAGTAAAAAAAATCTATAAATTTTAATTTGGTATCACCATAATAGAATCCAAACCAATCCAAATAAAGTGCAATTTTGTCCGAAATAAATGAATAAAAAAAATTTACTAAAGAAAGTTGTTCACATTGAAAGGAAAAAAAAAAAGAAAACTATAATACATAATTCAATAGTTGCCATGATTGATCAAATTGGGCCTATGAAACTAATGGGCCTGTGACATTAACAATCAGAGTCAAGCCTCGTGGTTGGTTAATAAAGAAAGATCTCTTCATCGGAGAATTGAAGCAGATTGGGAAACACCAAAACCAATAACCGGCGATCGGAAACCGGCGACGTAAGCTATGAGCAGTACGGCAGGGAAGCTCGTGACTTCAAGATCCGAGCTTGATCTTGATCACCCTAACATCGAAGATTACCTTCCTTCTGGTTCTTCCATCAACGAGCCTCGCGGCAAGCTCAGCCTGTAAATTCTCTCAGAAATTTCCGTTGAAATTTGAATTCGATTTGATCAGCTGATTAAATATTCACCGTTCTTTATTATTGCAGGCGTGATTTGCTAGACATCTCCCCAACGCTCACTGAAGCTGCTGGTGCCATTGTTGATGTAAGATATTTCAGACTAAAACCCAAATCTGTCTCACGATTACTCTGTCAAAGACTTCAAATTTATGACATAAAGGATTGATTTTTGAATATAAGATGTTTGATTTAGATATCTGCAGCTGTTGTCGACGACTCTGTTAAAAAAAAAATCATTTTGTTGGGTATGATTGTTGCAGGACTCGTTCACAAGATGTTTCAAATCGAATCCTCCAGAACCTTGGAACTGGAACATTTACTTATTCCCACTATGGTGCTTTGGTGTTGTTGTTAGATACTGTATTCTCTTTCCCTTGAGGTTGGTTCCTCTTATTTATTCAATTCTATATGGCTCTTCTCCTATCCAGAGTATGGGGTTCTTGTTTATAGCTCAAAGTTAAGATTTGCATGTTTGAACTGAGCGGTTCATTTTTTTAAAAACTTGCAGGTGCTTCACTTTAGCTTTTGGGTGGATTATTTTCCTTTCATTGTTTATCCCCGTAAATGCTCTGCTGAAAGGTCAAGATAGGTTGAGGAAAAAGATAGAGGTAGGTTGGAATTTCTGTTTCTCTCGTTTGTCTTCTATGATTTCGTTTTCACTGTTATTTCGTTATTCTTCCATCTAGAATTGGGAAGCTTTTGCTTTTTGTTGATATTTTCTTTTCTTGTGGAGCTCAACTACTGATATCTTGATGTTGAAATTTGTACTGTCTTTTGCTGTATTACCAGAGGGTCTTGGTGGAAATGATATGCAGCTTTTTTGTCGCCTCATGGACCGGAGTTGTCAAATACCACGGGCCACGGCCTAGCATCCGTCCTAAGCAGGTCATACTTCATTTTAAACAACTTTACTTTGTATCTCCATGATACCTATGCTTAACTTTATGAGTGGGGTTAACAGGTCTATGTTGCCAACCATACTTCAATGATTGATTTCATCGTCTTGGAGCAGATGACCGCATTTTCTGTTATAATGCAGAAGCATCCTGGCTGGGTTGGTAAGTCTCAGGCTGTTAGAGAGCGAAAAGTGTGCTTATGGCCTTTATCATTGCTGCCCTTTGTGCATTATTTTGTGAAAGCCATGATTGACTTTTGTTGCTTTGTATATGAAGGGCTTCTGCAAAGCACAATATTAGAGAGTGTAGGATGTATCTGGTTCAATCGTTCAGAGGCAAAGGATCGTGAAATTGTAGCAAAAAAGTATGCTTGATTCTTATCCTCTTTAAGTGTCATTACGTGATCTACTCATACTAATCATGGGAACATGAATTACGTGATTCAGGTTAAGGGACCATGTCCAAGGAGTTGACAATAATCCTCTTCTCATATTTCCCGAGGGGACATGTGTAAATAATAATTACACAGTGATGTTTAAGAAGGTAATTGGACCTGGCTTTGATGTGACTTCCACTCCTACTATATTATAGTTTCTGATTTGCTTCATGACAATGTTCAGGGTGCTTTTGAATTGGACTGCACTGTTTGTCCAGTTGCAATTAAATACAACAAGATTTTTGTTGACGCCTTCTGGAATAGCAGAAAGTAAGGGTATTTGCTTTAAGACTTTCATATTAGCCGGGACAGATACTTATATTGACTTATTGAGTAGTTGCGATTTAGGGCCTTTTTTTTTTTGTCTTGGTAACAAAATATCCTGCATGCTCTTTGCAGACAATCATTTACTATGCACTTGTTGCAACTCATGACATCATGGGCTGTTGTGTGTGAAGTGTGGTACTTGGAACCCCAAACTATAAGGCCTGGTGAAACAGGGATTGAGTTTGCAGAGAGGTAAAAAACATTCTTCTCTTGGACCTTCATCAGAGAAGTCATATACTAAGAAGTTTGCATCCACTTTACTTGTGACAGGGTCAGAGACATGATATCTCTTCGGGCGGGTCTCAAAAAGGTCCCTTGGGATGGATACTTGAAGTATTCGAGACCAAGCTCCAAGCATAGTGAACGCAAGTATGTACAATGTGTTTTTCTTTCTAGAAATTCTACTGTCATTATTCTTTCTAGCTGAATCTCTGAAGCATTTTCAGTAGCATGGTTATCTAGCAGCTGATTAGATCAAAGTCATACTTGGAACTTGCAGAAATTGTTCTGATCCTTGCCTGTTGATGCTGAGTTGTGTTTCTTTGAATTCCACAGGCAACAGAGTTTCGCAGAGTCGATCCTGGCTAGATTGGAAGAGAAGTGAATGTAAAGATGAAGTTATATTTATGTCATGTGGTGTTTTCATTTTTTCCGTTAGAGATACTCATGCCATGTTCTCTATATGTTTCTCAATACAATACATTGTTGTGAATGTCTCAATAAACAAAACTCGCTTTTTGCATTTTGGTCGTACGGTAAATCACAAATTTGCATACTCCAGAAACTAAAGTTACAATTTTTTAAAAAGATTATAAGAACGAACAAACAGATATGTACCAAACCTTTTTTGAAAAATAAATTTCAGAGATGCGATTTCGATTATCTTTAGAAGAATTCAGTGGAGGCGTAACCATATCGCGATCTACGAATGTTCTCTCGCCGTTTCTTCAACAGATAACCGCCGAATCCAACCATACTCGCAGCTGAAATCGCTCCCACCACGATTCCGGTCTTCTTTCCTCCGCTGCCATTTTCACCGCCTCCCGTTCTGGTACTATCAATGTAGTTGAGATCACTGGAATCCGTAAATTGAGACGAAGACGGATAATCGTTATCATCAGACATCGTCGGAGATGGAGACATTTCGGTTTCTGATTGCGGCAGAGACGACGATGGCTCAGGCTCAATCGCCGGTGAAACTTCTTCAGTTGAAACCTCACCGGTTACAACTAAAAGAGCTACAATGATGAAACCGAACTTCATCATCATCATCTCGAAAATTCAAACCTCTCTCTGTTTCTTCTCTCTTTGGATGGTTGATGCACTGAAGCAGAGAGATGAAGAATTTATAGTGTACGCAGTACGTATGACGAATGAGAATTCGCCACGTCAGAAGTGTATTAGAAGCTAGCCAAGTATTAGATCATGGAGTCAATTTATTGATTTTCCCACTTAAAGTTCGTATGAGTAACACTGAGAATTGCTTTGGCACCTAAATTCATGCCTAACGGTCAATGCTTTGGGATTTGGAAATTAATTTTTGGTCTATAAATGGAGCAAATGAAAAGGAAGGAATAAATAGGAGCCAATTATCAGAATCGTAAGGCAAGTAACCACTCTATAATGTTGACGCTTACCAAAGAAAGATTTATTTGTATTGTGTTACTTGTTTCAGGGTGTGACACTACATAAGTTTAGCTTTCTACATTAAGAAAAGTTGAGACCAAATCAAAAGAAATTGTCTTACTCATAACTAAAATTACTTTTATCTCCATCTTTCTCTAGTCCAAACTCATAATGACACAATTCTGATCACACATATAACTTAAGGAGACGTGTAATATTATATATAATACCCTTTTCTTAACTTCTGATCACAATTCGTCCTTCGAGTCACTTTGGCTACTCTTTGTCGTGCTATCGGGTGATTCTTTGGTCTCGGTAGTTTCTACTTTAGGTGTGGACTCGGCAGTTTTAGGAGATTCGGTTGACGCAGGTTTCTCCAGTTTGAATGGGATTGTGGCGTGTTTCCTTAAAAACTTGTAAAATGCAACCACAGTGCGGTCTGTATCTACAGTTATCTGCTCCACACACAACAAAAGAAGACAAATTTTTCGGTTTTATAGAAATCTACAAAGACAAAACCATTTCAGCCAGAAGAAGCACAACTTACCGGCTCTGAAGTCTTGTTGCCCGCAGGGAAGAAGAGAATGGTAGGGAACCCCTCAGCCTGCAAAGAATTTTACGCCATAACCAGAAAAAATCAACTCTTGAGGTTTTTAACATAAAAAGGTTCTCGGTGTCTAGAGATGTATATTTGATAAGTTTATTACCTTTGCCTTGGGATGTTCGTTGGTTGTTCCATCCATCTTGGCTATGACTAGAGAATCAATACTTCGTAACTGCTTGGCAAGTTTGTTATACATTGGCTCAAGGGCTTGGCAATGGCCACACCATGGTGCATAGACCTGAGTTTTGTTTTAAGAACCAAGTATTGATGAAATGAGAAGATGTGAATCCATATCAGTTTATTGACGGATTTTAATACAATATTACCTCGAGAAGCACATCTTTAGAATCGTCCAGAACAATTTCATCAAAGTTATCTCCAACCACTATTTTCACATCTCCATCGTTCTGTAGCCACCAAAATTAAGTCTCGGTGTTATACGAACCAACAAGACAGTTGGAAATTGATGATAAAAAAGAAACAGCTTTACCTTTTCAGGAATGGGGTCTGACTTATAGAAAGGCTTTAACTTGTCGTTCAGGAAATCCTCCCCAAATATCTGCAGGAGATTAAAGGTATAAGTTTTAACAAACAATCTTTACATGTCACCATGAAGTAAAAATTTACGAATGAAAGAAAATTCAAAGAGATACCTTAATTTTATCTGACTTGATCTCGCCATCGAAAAAGTATTTTTTAGGGTCTTCATTCCCTGTGTAGGCAATAAGCTATACACAGACCAACATATGAGATGTAATCAGTATATGCTTATCGAAAAGATCTAGGACTCAGATTCTTATAAATGTGCAACTCTTACACCCAAAACAAAATAAAAACAATCGACTTACTTTAGGACCATTTCCAGACACACCAAAGTATTCAGCGACTGGCTTCCCATAATCCTCATTATCCAGATCCACAGATACGAAGATGAGCTGTAGCAAGAAACAAAGGCTTCTTAGAAGTAACTCTTTCATTGGTGCCCCCAAAGATCCTCTTTCATGGATTTGTCTTGATGCAAACAAAAATATCAAATACATCGGTTTACAGTAGAATAGACCTATGTTCTTACCTTTCCTTTGAATGATTTCGCTGCTTCTTGAAATTCCGGAAGAACCTTTTCAGAGTCATTTTGGGTTGCAAACAACAACAACTGCAAAGAGAACATATACTTTCATGTTAGTACACGGACCAAAACCATCTTCATATTCAAATTGAAGAATCTTATTAAAATCATTGACAAACCTGTTTCTTGATTGCACTCTCAAAAATTTCCGGTGCAGTCTCTCTGGTGAAAACAGAGACCAAAGCAAGCTTGTTGGCAGAAACAAAACTAACTAAAGCAGACTTAACAAATTCCCCATCTGCAGATTAATAACACAAACATAATAAGCATAAGCTCAAGAACAAGATCACTAAATCAATGCATAACAAAGATTTACAGAGAACCAACCATAATGGCTAATCTTCTCCTCTTCCCTCTTAACTAGGACAAGAGCAGGCCTTTTAGACTCGGGATCAATGTGAAACATCTTGGCAACATCAGGATTCACTGTTTGATAGAAGTTCACATCGTCTTCAACTTTGGAAGCAGCAGCAAGTTGATCATGCTCAACGCCCTGTGAATTTCGCCAAAAATGTAATAAATTATGTTACTTTGAGAACGACTGATAGACTATATACTAAAGTGGATAGAGGAACCATACCACCAAGGAGTTCAAGTATCCCAAAACGACTTTGTTCCCAGAAGTCAACACTTTCTCAGCATCATCTAATGTAGTTAGATTATACACACCAGGACCTATCTTCTTCTTCACCCATGTCACAATTGTTTCTCTAAATCACAAAATCAATAAAAATATCAGCAACATAAACTCCAAATCAGATCCGACGTTGCCTCAACAAAATTGAACATAGTACCAAAAATCCAATTTCACTTACTTAGTCCTTCCTCCAGTGTAAGGCTTGTGCTCACCATCAACGAAGAAAAGAATCGTTGGGAATCCTTGAACACTATACTCCTGAGCTAGCTCATTCTCCTCCGTCGCGTCAATCTTAGCCAATACAACACCATCGTCCTTAAGCTCCGTCGCAGCAGCAGCATACTCAGGAGCAAGAGACTGACAATGACCACACCACGGCGCATAGAACTCAACCAAAACATATTGATTATTCTCAATCACGTCAGTGAAGTTACGCTCCTTGATAACAACAACGTCTTTCTCATCAATTTCCGGCGTCGGCAACGGATCGGAATCTGGATTACCTAGATCAGAGAAATCACCTTCTTCATCTTCATCGTCGTTGTACATATCGGGATCTTCGTCTTCACCTCCTTCGAATTCGTCAAGTCCAGCTGAGGAGGAGAGTGAGTCAGCGCCGGGAACGTCGTCTTCTTTGAGATCTTCGAGGAAGCTGAGATCCTCATCGTCGACGTCGTCGGAGGAAGAGGTGGCGAAAGAAGGAGAAACGGCGGAGAAGATGAGAAGTGCGGTGAGTGAGAAGAGGAGCAAAACGCGGAACGCCATTTTAGTGTGAATCGCAAAACTCTGAGATCTAACAACTACAAAGTACACATTACACAAGCTTGTTTCTTTTCTAGTACATGTTCGTTGTTACCAAAACAAACGTCGTCGTTTTCGGATTACTCTATGAAATTAAATTATTAGGGAATATAATTTATGTCATTGACTAAAACTGCTAGTGGTCGTCTACGACCAAATATTTGGGTAGGCAAGAAAAAAAAATGATTATAATTAATTGTAATTAAATCATTTTAATAGAAAGTTATTGTTCTAACTTGAACCAGTTAAGCTGAAGTCAAACCAAAACTTTGTCAAACGAATTGTAATTCCAAACTGAATCATAAATGGTTTTATTTTGGTTCCACTTTATATAAATAGAAATTGACAAAATCTTGAAAAGAAAGAACTATATTTTTGGTTAATTCAAGCAACAGAGTGAGTGACAATAGTGCGGATCATATTAGCACGTTGTTTCTTGATCACAAAGTAGATTCCTAATGAGAGAAATGCGACGAAAGAAAGTCCTAACACTACTCCAATGGTTTCTCCTCGTCCTTCTTCTTCTCTGCGACTACTCTCACTTGTTGTGTGTTCGTCTGATGAAACTTTACTTCCTTGTGAATCTGGTTCTACAATAGATGTCTTTGAAGGTGAAGGTGATGGCGAAGAAGGTGAGTTTTTTGGTGGATTATTGTGATCAGAGAGTGATGATTTTGGGTGAAAGAAATCGTAAGCTTCTGGAGAGAAAGCAGATGGATTTGTATAAGCTGGACCGTGAACAGGTCTGCTTCCAGCAATGGAGACGCAAAGAAGCATAGATAAGCAAGAGAAGAAGAAGAGCAAAGAATGAGTTAGGTATGTCATGTTGTTGTTGTTTTTTCGTTCCCTAAGCAGTTTTTTATTTTGCTTAGTGTAAGTGTGTGTTTTTGGGTTTTATATAGGATATTGGTTATAGAGGAGATAGTTGTTGCTTGAAGTTCAAATTTGTATGATTGCATATATCAAGAAAAAGAACAAAAATGTGTTGTTTTTTGAATGAGTGAAGAGAAGTCATGCAATTTTTGTTTGTTTTCAATCTTGTATATATAATTGCCCTGTCTAGAACAAGTGTTGATGATGAATACTTAATCCTTAACAGAAAAAAAAAAACTGTTGTAATTTATTGGTTTTAGCCTCTCTTTTTTTTTAAAACAAATCTTATGACCATTTGTAATTACTCGTTTATATTTGATATATGTATTAATGTATGTGATGTGGAACTAATGATTTTAAAATAAGGGTCATATGATTTGTTCCTCTACTTTCATATATTTAGGGTAAGATTGGTGGCAAAGAATGCATGAAGAGTTTGTTAGCTTGAAGGAACCGCAATGGAAATATAAAACAAGGATAAGGAAATTTTATTAATCGGGTCCACAATTTGGGTTATATTGGAATCCCTAATTAATAACATAAACCTAAAAAAAAAACAAAGTTGAGATTTAAAACATACGTGACATATGGACATATGGTTATTCCCGAGAGAAATAGAATCAAAAGACAAAATTAACGTTAACTCTACGAAAAGATAAAGCGAACTTGAGATTTTATCTTAAAGCAACATTAATTATAACCACATTTACAATTACACGAATGGGAAAATATTCCATGAAGTGAAGAAAAAAGAACAGAAACATGTAAAGAAGATACATGTAACTTCCGCTTAATACATTGGTAATCATCATCATTTGATTAAAGATTAATAACTTGTGGTTTAATTTAAAATAAATAAAAATTAAGCAAAGCTCCTAAAGGAGCCAAGAGCTTTAATCGCAGCCGCTCTTAAAATAAACTGATGGTAAAACGCTGCCGCTGCTGCTCCGATCATCGGTCCAACCCAAAAAATCCACTGTTTCAATTATAAAAACAAATTAGTTTATAATTAAACACCAATCAATTCATATAAATTTTGAAAATATGTTTATATAAGTTTTTGACATACTTGGTCATTAACGAACTTGGTTTAAAAAAAAAAGGAAAAACAAAATTGACGTACTTGGTCGTCCCAGGCCTTTTCGTTGTTGTAAATAACGGCAGCTCCGAAGCTACGAGCCGGGTTGATACCGGTTCCGGTGATGGGAATGGTGGCTAAATGAACCATGAAGACGGCAAATCCGATGGGAAGTGGCGCCAAAACTGGCACGTGACAGTCACGAGCACTTCGCTTGGGATCGGTGGCCGAGAAGACGGTGTAAACAAGGACAAAAGTTCCGATGATCTCGGCACCGAGTCCGGTACCTTTGTTGTAGCCGTCGGCGAGCACGTTGGCTCCACCTCCATATCTAAATATCATTACCAATATTTGTAATTAGTAAAACAGTGTAATATGATCATATTAATTAGACCTATGAAAGTAAAAAAAAAAATTAGGAGTTTTGAGACATGATGAAACCTGGTGTAGTAAGAACTTTGGAATGCTTTGACGAGACCACAACCGCAGATGGCACCAAGGCACTGAGCCACAATGTATAAAACTGCCCGCACCAATGACACTTTACGAGCCAGGAATAGTCCCACCGTCACAGCCGGGTTTATATGACCACCTTCATAAACAAAAACAAATTAATTAATCAGACAAATTGTAAGGATGTATTTAAATTAGATAAACCGAACCAAACTAATTCAAACTGAACCGTAAAGAAACAATAATAGTATTTTGAGCCTGATGATGATTATATAATATGAATCCTACCTAAATCGAAAAAAGATTTAGAACAAACAAAAAAAATCAAACCAAGAGTTGACTTTTTTTTTAATAGAAAACATAAAGATGAATATATTTGATTAAAATCCGAAATTAAAACCTACCAAACTGAACCGAAAACCGGGTATCAAATACGTAAATTTTTATTTTTATTTTTGGTGAAAATCTATGTACCGTGACTCGTACGTTTGTAATTGTATCTAAACATACTTACCGGAGATACCGGCGGTACAGTAAACGAGGACAAAGATCATTCCACCGAACGCCCACGCAATTCCCAATATTCCTACGCCTCCGCAATCCACTCCTCCGGCGGTTGCATCGGTTTGAGCTTTGTAGCCGATTACGGTTAGGACTGAGACGTAGAGGAACAAAAGTGTTGCCACGAACTCGGCTATGACCGCTCTATAGAGCGACCACTTCCGAAGTTCCTCCATGTCCAACAATGGTGCGGGAGGCGGATCCTTGTAGTCTCTCGCCGCTGGTGCTCCACCCTCTTGCACATCATCATCTTTTGCCATGGCCAAAGATGATGAGAGAGATCAGTTTTAATGTTTGTTCAGATTTGTAGCTTTTTGGTTTGTTTGTGTGTGTATATATATAGATATACATAGAGTCATAGAGACTGAGCAAAGGTTTGGTATAAGTACATTATAAGACAATTTAATATATGGTTGATAATTATGTGGACAGTTAATTGAATTGAATTTTTTTTTTTTTTTTTGGAAATAATTATGAAAGAATCTGATCTAATCTGTACCTCATATGAGCTGGTGCTTGGTGGGTATTATCTATTATGAGAAACAATCTCAATTTTGCTACTATGTTGTGTTGATTTGCATTATTGCATATAATGGTTTAATTTTTTAGAGTTTTGTTATTGGTTAGCAATATTCGTTACTTTTACCAAAAAATGCATATGTTACGTTGGGTTTAATTTTCAGTCCGCTAGAATGTAGAGAACTAGAGATGAGTCATTTTATGCAGGAAAATTTGAATATCTTAATAGTAATTTAAGTATATATATTCTTTTGATAAAATGAAAGATTAATTAAGTAGATTCAAGTAATCTCTGACTTAATTACTGCGATATACACTCGTTTTAAACGGGGAGGATTATTTTATTGGTAATCTCACAAGTCACAACATCAAATGTGTATAACTACTATATATGTGGTATGACAAAACCATTCACCTCTAACCAATTAGTATTCTTTTTTTGTCAGATAATAATATACTTTTTTACCCGATTTTCAATTAAAAACAAAAATATGACGATCATATCCTTCAACGTACTTTTTTTTTTTGGTAAACAGAGATTAGAATTTTTGAAGGCTCAGATATATGAATGAACATAATTATAGTCCTTTAACGTACTTTAGTAAATTACGAGTATAATTTTCGCAAATCAACAAATAAATCTTTAAAGCCAGTCCTTGTATACACCAAGTTATGTCAAGTAAGAATAAGATGCTTCTTCAATTCAAAATTTTGTATATTATGCGTACATTTTCCGAATAACATGACCGAGGATCATTCAGAGCTGACTTAAATTGTATGATTAGCTAGAGGAGGATAAACTTGTTTTAATCCGTCCAACCAACCCCTTGATTTAGACATTCTTGTGTTTGTAATAATTGGTTTGGTCGACCCTTGATTTAATTTTATTCAGTTGTTGTTGCAACATCAAATTTCATCTCCTTATCATTTTTATTTATTCATTATTTTCAATTTTCTGATTTATTCAATGTTTTTGTTATAACGAGTCCAACATGTTAGATTAAATGAGGATTGTCTAGAAACTAAATGAATATACGGTCTAATTAACAAGTTGGTACTTTATATTCTGGCTGAACCAGTCCATGACTTTTCAAATTATAATATGAAATCACCTATATATATTGCATAGTTGTATCATAAGATTAAAGTTTTTAATAGAAACAAAAAAAAGTTTGTATCTATCAGTTATGTAACCCAACTAAGATGATTTAGATATAATGATATATATGGATAACAAGATTAAAGGATATCTTTTTGTCTATTAACGTTTTTATTACATGCATGTAAATTATTCCGGGACAAGTCTATATCACACTTCAATATCAACGTCGTCACAATTTCAAGTTATATTAATGATATATATGTGATATTAACGGGAATAGACCTAGTTTAGAATATATTTAATTACCATATTAAATACATATATAACATAAAGTTCCACACAAAAATATGAGGAAATAAGAATCTTATAAAGTTACGTAACTATAGCATATGAAGAATGAGGCCCTTTTTTGGGAATTACATTTTAGCGTGCACGAATTTTTCTGCAATTAATGGTTTGTTTTGTTCAGTGAGCAAGCAAAGTCTCGTCCCTCCCACCCACATTATAAAAAGGTCTATTAAAGTATAAACTTTCATGCTTTTGGAATAGTGTAAAGTTGGTTTTGTATTCGGATTTTGGTTAGAAAGTAAACTAAATGTAAAGATGTTAGTTTAAGTTCTTATGTTTGTTTATTTTTGTTTTTTTAGTTCTAAGCATTAAAAAAAAAGAGTAAAACATAATTTCAATGCTTTAAATTTGATTATTTTCTTTAGTTTGGGTTGGTTAAATTTAATAGAGAACTGATCCAGTGACAATCATATGTAGTTAGAGATTGATATATCTATAAAATGGTTAAGCAAAGAAATTTTGGTCTCTAACTATATGAAAAGTAAAATCTCAAAATAACCCACCAATTATAGAAAGTTAGTTAAAACTAAGAAGTTGGATTTGATAATAAGGAAAAGAAAAATAATGAGGAGAAGACGATAAGAATGAGATCAATGACATGCGAACAACGTTGGAGCTCTTATTTATATGTTGTCTTTGCCAGGCGAACTTTTCTGTCCACGTAATTTCTCCCAACCCTTCCAATTATTCAATTAGTGTTGGACTTACATGCTTGATGCATTGCTTATATAATATATTATCAATCTGTAATTACATGAATATTAATATAGTGTAGGTGTGAGATCGCCTATCAATATATGCATCCATGTGACCATGTTTATGCATTTTGGTTTAGAGTTTTATAACATGATAAATGAAAGTTTCAGAGTTAATAAGTGTGTTTTTGTAATTTTGGGTTAGATATAACTAAATTTCAGGTCTATTAATAAAAGATTTTTGGCAATCATACCAAATAATTGTCTATAGTTCCTTTTTTTTTTTGTTCAACATCTATAGTTTCTTTCCAATTTCCTTTATTAGATAAGAAAAAAAATTTGCAGCAATTTTTTTATAACTTTTGTAACAAAAGAAATATGTAGACTAGAGTGCCATATCATTAATCAACTGATATCAACATCAACAAATTATTTCGTAACAATGAAGCCTTTACCACCACATATTTTTGTACTCTCTCAACACCATAAATTTTAGTGCTTGAAATTTGATAATGGACTCCATAATCTTTGAAAAATACTAGAGGATTCAACTTATAATATCGTTGACAAAATACTAGAGAAGCACATGGCTTAATCTTATTTCACTTTCCTCTTTTCAACATCTCTAATAGTAGAAACACTGAAGAAGCGGAAGAAAACTCAGCCACCAGCCACCAGGTGCTTTCGTACTCTGCAAGAGCCAAATGCAAGGAAGCATACTCTTCTCATCGCATAACATGCCTCCATTTATGAGATCTGGCACGATCAGAAACAGAGCATCGGCACCACCATGATCCTTTTAATCCCAATGGGGTCTTTACTACGAGGATTACTTATATGAATCCCACTTGTTTTATTTTTAGTACTAGGTTAAGAAGAAGATGAGGCAACACGTAATTCTTCATTAATTCATTAGTTTTAATACCAGGTTTACCATTACAAGTCTGATTTCAGTAAATCTTTCCGAGACATTGGCCAGAAGGACCTTGCTAACAAGACTTTTGCGGTCAATCTATAGACTTCTCATATCAATCTTAAGATCTAACACAATGAATTCGACAAAATATGGTAACCAAAATACAAAGGACATTCAACTAATTACCTCATTCTACACTGTCATAAACCTTTTGATGTATTCAGCACTGTCATAGTTTAAATGTTACAGGGGAATGAGACAGCCTAAATCTCAAGCACTCTCGACAAGACATCAACAACTACTTAATTGAATGTTCCTTCTAGTTAAGTGAATGATACCAAAAGAACCAAACCCCATATAACACTGCCCAAATCTCTACTCTTAGTTATGATTTGTCTACAAATCAGTCTCAGTTTCATAGCAAATTTCAACAAGTGCTTAACAAGTTTAAAAGCTTAGTAGAGAGAGATACTAAAGAACAACGGCTCAAGACGACTACATTACACTACTAATCAATCTTCAGATTCAATCATGTAACGAATCTTGTGATGCATTCAAAAATGAAATCTTGAATCTTTTGACACTCAAACAAAGTTGATAGATTATAGAAATGAAACATTCTAATTGATCCCAAGAAAGGATTCAAATTTGCAAAAGCCAACAATCCTCAACTTCCAAAATATAGTATACTAATACCAAATCCTCAAAATCAAATACAAAAGAAAAAACGATAGAGAACTCAAAAGTAAAACCTTTATCACTCGTTAGGAATATCAATGTCACCATTGTTAATTTCTTCCTGAAGATCCTTAGGGTCTTTACCATCAACAGTGCAACCAACAGAGACACAAGTTCCCAAAATCTCCTTCACAGTTCCACTCAATTCTTTAGCAATAGATCTAGGACGCATTATCTTCGCAATCTCAATCACATCATCAAACGAAATGTTCCCATTATGTTTGATGTTCTTCACTTTCTTCCGATCTCTCTCTGGCTCCTTGAGGGCCTTGATGACTAGAGCCGCTGCGGATGGAACTACAGTGACCTTAGCTTGACGATTCTGAACCGTGAGCTTCACGGTGACTCTAAGACCTTTCCATTCTTTTGCTGTCTCTTTGGCGATGTCTTCTCCGATCTTTTTCGGTGCGAGTCCGAGTGGACCGATCTTTGGAGCGAGTGATGACGCTGCTCCGACCTCACCTCCGGTGACTCGGACGTAGACGTCGACGATTTGAGATGGATCCAATTTCGGCGGCATTTTCTCCTATTCTTCTCACTCACTCACTCTCTGCTTCTAGGGTTTCGTCTTTTTATAGTGCCTTTAAGTAGCTAGGGTTTATACTGAAATGACGAATTTAACCCTGGTACGGATTTGGTTTCCCTTAACCGAAATCAAACCCATGCATAGTTAAAACAAAACATAATTGGTTGATTGCGGATTTTCTGTTTCGGTTAGGTTCAATAACCGAGATGTCTGTGCAGTTTTTTGAAGGGTAATTTGGGAAAAGGAGTTTATTTAGCAAATTTCCATGGGTCTGGTTTTTAAAGTTAATGGACTTCTTGTGTTATATGTTTTGAATAAACTACGGCCTCGTAGTGTCTGAAAGCCCAGTGTTTCGGCCTATGCGTTGAAATTTTCACTCTTTACTATTTTTTTTTTCTTTTAATGAGATGCGCCACAGTTGAGAGAAATTTAGAAAACGTATAGAGAAAGTGCAGAGAAAAAGATTTTTGGTGTGACCGAACCCTAATTTGAAAAAAATGGTCGTTGATTGTTGTTTGTTCTTGCGTTATGTCTAAGATTTTCAAGAGTTGGGCGGGTCGGATCTTCTCCACGAAAGCAACTCTCACTAGGTATATAGTCCATGAATTTTTTTTATCTCACTTTGAATCTTTTCTAAGAATATGTGCTTGTGAATTGATTTCGTTTATTTTATACTTGGTAGTAGAACTCAATTCTGCATTTGCTTACAAATAATGAAAGTTCAATTATTTTGTTGTTGTTGTAGCAATCTTGTTTCTTGAATCTTTTTATAAAGGCTATCCAATCTTTATGTAATTGGTCAATTATGGCATGTCCCGAATTTTATGCAAGTGATTGGACCTGACACTTTTATCACCTTTGAGATAAGGAATATACGCCATATGCTTCCGGATTAGTACACTGGATTGTGCTTGAAATTTTCAAAGAGGAATGGGTAAATCTACATACACACATAAATATGTATGGAGAGCTAAGAAAATTGATCGAAGTTCAAAGGATGAGCGAAAGATAATGCCAAATATATATGTATATATTAGTATACGAATTTTACCGGATATGTTAATGAGGTTTGCTGATGTACATGCATACGTATTTGTACATTCATTTCAAAGATATCTACATAGTGGTCTCATTAATCTTCAAACCGTTTGTTTTTAAGCATATTACGAGGACAATGAGAAAATCAGAAAATAATATGTCCCGTCAAAAACCTGCAAGACACTCTAAGATTCACTTGCCTCCATAGGATTTTACTTTTTTAGAATTACATAAACTCTTGAAACAATGTGCCGCTTAATTTGCACCATCAAGAAGACGGAAAACAACAAATTGTATCGTCAAGAAATTCGATACATTACTAATAACAGATGAAGTTGGAGCAAAATCTGTTACAAGTCTCTCTTTGATACGAAAAAGAGAGTCTCTCTTTGAATAATGCTGATCGATGACATCAATGATCTTTGATGGACCAACTGATTATATATAAAAAATGAAGTAGCATCTAATCGATTAATCACTTAAACAGAAAGCTTCTCGCAATTCAAGTATAAAATAGCCCAATGATTCACCACTAACTAAAACAAATTGTGTAAATCATATTCCCACTTTTTCCCTGAGCCTTGTGACTGGATAGCTGTATCTATTTAAAATATTTAAGTTATTGGGTCATTTATTGTGTTATGGTTTCACCTCGTAACTTTCTGGACTGGATAACATGATTGGACAATTCATTTATTTTATTACTCCTTTGCAATAAAGTCACTTTATTATCATCATCATCACTATTACAGCGCAGTATTTTTACTTTTCCTTTTTCTAATCATTATTATACTTGGCTACTTCATTTTAAATTTAAAATAATATCTATGTGCCCACTATGTCGACATCTGAAAAACACGATAAATAATGCTTTTATCCGTTTTCTTAAGCGAATAACATTTCGATTTGACTGAAATCGGCTCTAATCTTAAGTACTGTTTCCAAATTATTTGTAAAACAATTAAAATGACTATCCATCATCAAATGATCAAAATATACCTCATTATTTTTGGACACTTCAAATATGAACTAATTATATAACCTTAATGATGATTTTTCAGCTTTATTCTAACCATCTTTGGTTGATTATTTCATACAATATGGAAAATGACGCTTAGAATAATATTGACCGTATAATTTTCCCAATACACAACAAAACTGCGTCGACGTAACAAATAAAAAATCATAAATTAAAGCATAGATGTGGATAGACACAAAAACCTCAAAAAGAAAATAATAAAAAATGAAATAAAAAGAAGTTTAAATTGAGCAAAAGACTAAACAAGCAAAGTAGGACCAACAAGAGTTTCAACGTTCAACGAATCTCGTGACATCAAATTTAAACCCACTCGCAAGTATATCTCACGCGCCGAGACCAACCGAGATATTATCGAGATGATGAGAAAATATCGAGACGGTACGAGTCTGTCGCGCGTGAGAGTGACATTGAGAGAGAAGAAAGCGAAAGGACTTAAAAACCTGAAAATCCAGCTGGCGATTGATTAACGCGTTTAGATCATAAGAATAATGGGTCCTCCCTTCACGTGGCACCCATCTAAGGTGATTGATACTACGTGTAATGAGATCGAGTTATTACGACACGTGTCTTGATCGTAGAGACTATGCTATTGTCTCTCTCTTGTAACTGGGGAAGGGAGAAAGTGAAATCGACCCCACCCGAGTCACGACAAATACTTGAACCAAGTTATGGTTTTTATGAAAAATTGATATTTTAAGAGGTACGAAGAAGAATCTATATTATCCATTAAATTTAAATTATTTTTATTATTATTAAGGAGAGCAAGAAAAAATATCTATCTTCTTCGTTTTATTAGGTTTAAATTCAGATCACTACAAAAAAAAAAATCAAGAATTTCTTGTTGACAAACTTCGTTTTTAGATTTTATACTCCTTTTTTGTCCGATTTATTTTTCCTTTAATAAGTCGGTATTCTTTTGTTTTTGTTGAAACTACCTAAGATTCTCCTATTTTTGATTTTTTGTGCCAGAAGAAATAAGAGACTTGCACCAGCATGATCCGGTAGTTTTGTAATAATAATTAAAAAAAAAAACAAAATGCAAATTAGCTTAGACAAAAAAAGATACAATTGTAGTGTTTTCTCGAACAGGCTCTATCATAATTAACTATAGTATTTTTAGTCACAAGATTAAGTAACGCATATGATTAGTCATTTAGTTTAATATTTTCTTAGTGTGAACAATGGAAGAATCTGTGCTGTTAGCATTTAAGCTGTATATATACAAAATGAGGAAAGCCAGAGATCAAACTCTGAAAGACTGACTATAGATCGAGGAGACCATAATCCAAAACAAAATAGTCCACATAATTAGTAGTTTAATACTAATACAGAATATGTAAATATGTTATAGGGTATAGGGAAGAGAAAAATAAATACATTAAATAAGTAATACCACGAGAGAAAGCAAAGCACGAGTGTTAAGCTTTGTGCAGAGTGTTTTCATTGGGTAATGAAAGAAAAAAAAAAAAGTTAAAATAAATTACTAATAGTTGGGGAACGGCTAAAATTACGAGTGTATGATGTAATCTTCGACGGTTCTGGTTCCCCGCGCCGATCACACCGACCAACCTCGTAAGTTTCCAAACGGTCGAGAGCCTTATATTTATTATACTATTTTATTCCATTATATTCTCCGTCCATGCAATCTGATTTTAATTATTCTTATAGTATAATATTTTCTCGTATAAATCTCAGGATTAGAACTTCTAGTCATCTAGATAATCTTTTTTTTTGTCAAAACACTTTTAGTAATCTAAATATTTAAAATATTAACTATATAATAACAATCCCTAAACAATAGTCTTTTAATCTGATGATAAATCACTCAACCATTCATGCCATATAAAATGATAATATTGACCGATGTATATATACTTAATGAAAAAGATGTGGATTACAATTTGTCATGAGTTAAACTTGAAAGTATGATTTCCTTCATGCAAAAAAAAAACATTTTCGAAATTAGAAAATCCACTCAGATAGATAGTGGCCAAAAATATACTACTGAAATACCAAATACTACTAGATATTGTTGAATTTAGTCGGAAGTCTAGATACTTCTTTTTTCAAGAGACAGATAAATTAAACTTCTTTTTTTTTTTTGAACAACAAAGAATTAAAGTTTTTAAGTGGTAAAGAATATGCCAAACACGACACATGTAATATTCTCCAACTCGTACAAAAAAATCCATCGCAATTCGTGGCATTGTTCGACACTTCATTAAAATCTCATTTAAAACCCAAGGGTAACAACGTCATTTCACAACTGACGGAAACTAGAAGTTAAGGGTCCCTTATCCAATTTATCCGAAAAAACTCGAAACCTGTATAAAACCAAAGACTCCCTCACGACTAATTCTTCTTCTTCATTACCAAATTAACAAATCTCAACATTTTAAATTCTTCTAAATCTTCTTCTTCAATGGCGACGGGAAAGAGTTACTACGCTAGACCTAGCTATCGATTTCTCGGCACCGATCAGCCGTCTTACTTCACCGCTTCCGATTCAGGTCTCGAATTCGACGAATCCGATCTCTACAATCCAATCCACTCCGATTCACCAGATTTTCGCCGTAAAATCTCTTCATCAGCCAGATCTGGTAAAAAACCGTCGAATCGTCCCTCCGCCGCTTCCTCCGCCGTAGCAGCGTCGTCGCTTCCCGTAAACGTACCGGACTGGTCCAAGATTCTCCGGGAAGAATACCGCGATAACCGCCGGAGAAGCATCGAGGATAACGACGACGATGATGATAACGAAGACGGAGGCGGTTGGTTGCCGCCGCATGAGTTTCTGGCGAAGACGAGAATGGCTTCGTTCTCGGTACATGAAGGAGTTGGGAGGACATTGAAAGGAAGAGATCTGAGTAGGGTTCGAAATGCAATTTTTGAAAAAATTGGGTTCCAAGATTAAATATTTGGAGTTTTCCTTTAATTTTTGGCTTACTTCAATCATTTTCTCAAGTAACTGTCAGAGAAGAGAGAGAGCATGTAATATTTCTAGAAATGCCCTCCATTTATCGTTATATTCCGAAAATCTTACCCATGTAATTTTTTTTTTAACTTTTGAGATTTTATCACATTTTGCGTAATGAGTAATAGATAATGTTTTCTTTTTTTGGAAGAATGTTTGTTTTGTTTATTAAGCAGTTGATTTTATGGGAATTAAATCTGAAACTCCGGATTTGGGATACTTCATTGTTGGAAGTAAATTTTGGGGTGAAAAATAAATAAAATAGAAAAAGTGGGGCAAAAAGTATCAATTATTTGGTTGGGATATTTGGGTGTTTGATGAGGTGGGTGAGAAAAGCAGAGGCTACAAACACTTGAAAGTGACATTAGTTGCTTGAGAATTATTCTCTTAATTTATTTATTATTTGAACATTGTGATTTTAAAGTTAATGAGTTAATTATACAAACTTATGATTTTTAACCAAATTAAAGTCTTCTCTTTACTTTAAGAGACGTCGAAATGTTCCAAAACCAAAATAAGTTCCTCATCTAAACTAAAATGGATGTGATAAAGTATAAAAACTAAAACCGTTTATTTATTAAAATTAGCAAAGGATTACGTGAATCAGAATGGTTTTCGTGTAAGGGATTATAAGGGACATGTAATACATGTGATCTTCAGGATTATGCTTTCCCTAATGTAGAATTTTGTCATTATCTAAACACATTTCCTAACTAAACTGGATTTTATTTTCATGTTCATTGTCTCAAGCGTTTCTAGAATTTCCGGTAAAAAGGTTTGTGATTACATTCTACATATAGAAAAAAACTGCATTTCTACAAATATAGTATCATCTTATCCGGGTAAAACAATGATCTTATCCTGTCTAAGAATTATAGTTTATCTTCAACTTAATTTGAAGTAGATATTTCCTTTTTGAAAAAAGAGAAATGGAAATTACCATCCTTGATTAATTACAACATAAATGTTGAAAAAGGATTGTAATTTTATAGGACCCGCAAAAGGTCAATGTAATGAGTAAATGAGTAATGAGACCATCTCCAACCATGGGGTATTAATTTAGGGCTCTTATGAATTATTTATTATTGATTTTGAAAAATGACAGGACACCAGCTCTTATGGGGCTCTTTAGCTTCTTAATACAGACTCTGGTTCTTCAATAAATAGCTCATTTTGATTTATTTTTGATCCATAAAATTTGTAGAGCCCCACATAAGAAGCCCCATTGTGGATGCTCTGAGGTTCTCAAGTTGGGTGTCGTTTTCTGATCAAACACCAACCGTTTTGGCCCAACTGTGGACCTCGTGAAATATGAGGACTTAGAGCATCTCCAAAGGGAGGTTGTCTCCACTTTTTTGATGAGTTCTCTTGATTTATTTGATCAAAAATAATTCAAAATTGAGTAAACAAGAGAGAAACGCCTCTCTTAAGAGAATTTTGAGAATTTTAGAGAGCCGGACACATGTCGTTCATTGGATGGAAGAAGCATTTTAACAAAAAAAAAAAAAACTCTCATTTTTTTTGGTCGTTTCTCGACAAAAACAGAAACACCTCTCTCTCTCTCTCGCGATTGCGATCAAAGTTTCTGTGAGATTCTATAATGGAGCAGCTTGTTAACTTCATCATTCGACCTCCAAGGTTACGCTTCTCTCTCGTGTATTAGGAATTTGTGCTTTTTGATTTCTCCGATTTGGTTGTCAAATTCTCAATCGTTTAAGAATTGGGTTTTCTCTGAATTATAGTGTTCATGACTTGAATTTTGTTCTTTATGATGATTACTTGTATTCATGATTGTCTTCTGTACTTTCACTTGAGTTTCTGATTAGAAGAATTATCAAATTCTTCTTTTTTTGGCCACCCATGTGATCTCTCTGTGTCATTACTTAAGTTTACTATTCAGATTCTACTATTGAATCTTCAAGGAAGTGTCTATGTATTACTTTGACATGACTCTTTTAAGAGTTAGGATTTGGGACGTTACTAGGTTTGAAGATAAACATCTATAAGAAGATTGTCAATATGTGAATTGACTTGTTTCGTTAACTCTCGGCCCTCTTGACTCTTAGCATTGCTTAATGGCCCTGCAATTCTGTCATATAGTGGATGTAGAGCGGATGGTAGTGAAGCCGCAATTGTCTTGCTGCCTTCAAACATCACAGTTTTCACCCTTGACTTTTCGGGATCGGGTCTCTCAGGCGGGGAATATGTCACCTTAGGCTGGAACGAAGTATGTTCTCCTTTAATCATTCTCTTTTATCTCTTCTACTCTTCAAAATATATTGTTACATTGGAGTAAATATTTTGTCCAATATGCTCTGTTATTTTCCATTTTATACCCATGTAAACCAATATGATTGTGCTATCTTCTATAGATGTACCCTATTGTAAAAACTCTAGTTCATGATAAGACTGGCGAGTGAAGAAATCATGGAATTCGTGTCGAGTTGTAGTTGTGGTCTTTGACCTTGTCCTCTGTGTATTATTCTCCACTGACAAACCAAACTTCTCAAGTCGATTTAGCGTATTCTACAGAGATGCCTACAAATCTCGGGAATATAATGGGCAGACGAAATCAAGTTCGTGATTGTGAAATGCATCAACAATTGAAAGCTGACTTGGTTGAGCATATCTGGCAAAAATTTTGCAACAATCGAGAGTAAAACTAATCGTTATTTTTTTTTTTCTTTTGCATATCTTTTTACAAATGTTTGAAATAATATATGTTTAATATTTTTATGAATTGTAATAATTATTAAGTTTTATGAAATAATATTTTTAATAATTTTTTTTTCCTAAGAGAACCTCACTAGAGAAACTACCATTGGAGTATGAAAAATTAAAAAAAAATACACAAGTTCTCATCTCAAATTTTCAACAAATTTATAATTAAAAAATTGAGAGAGCTTCATGGAGACAACTCCCCATTGGAGATGCTCTTACGACACATATGTTTTTCTTTTTTTGAGCAAACGACACATATCTATAAAATATAAAGTGACTAGGAAAAAATTAAAACAATTTTTTGTTTGTTTTAGTATTACTAATCAAGAAACTTAAATAACATATTTTGAACGGTGAATGTTCTTTCGAAGACTTTCCCACACTCAACATGGAAAATGAAAAAACCACACCACCAGTCAAAGATTTATCGGAAGGAGGAGAAAGAGATTATAGAGTCATAAGCTTAGGGTCATGAGATGATCCTAGAGCCAATCGGTTTGGAGGTGAGCAGCTCATAAAAAGTTTCAAGAAGCATAAATGGTCTTTATTGATGAGGATTGTATGTGTCTCCGGGAAGCGAATGTGATTAGATGCGACATAAGGTTTGAGCATCTTTCGTAAAATAGTGTGTGTGCTTGTGTAAAAATCTCATCTTCTCAACACCAACGACAAAGTTGGAAATATATTTTTCAGTTTGCTATTTATGAAACTCAAATACAAATACAGATGAATGGAATGAATCATTACCTTACGTTTGGATTTCATATTTTGTGTTCGGACATAAGAAACTGTATATGACAATAATCATATATACAACAAATTTCTAACAATTACAAGAGAAATATAACTAATTGTCTGTTGTTTTCTTACAACATAACATCTTGCAAAGAAAATCTTGGAAACAAGTTACGATGACGAATCAATAAAAGTATAAGGATAATTAATAATTTAATCTAAAAGTAAATTGTCTTGATTGGTAAATGACAACATCTCCTAAAATAGTTTTAAATTTTAAAATCCACCAAGTTAGATGAACAGTCCACATCTGTTATAGTCATCAATCATCAAGTTATCTTTTTAATTCAAGATGTAATATGACACACTCCTTATAAATTAAAACGAAATAGCAATCTGAAAATAAATTATATATAAGCAGTCTTTAGAGAGTGCACTTGTAATGGAAGAGATGGTAGATGGAGATCTAACAGCCAAAATTGGGGGTTTAAAACCAAATCTTAATTAATCTTTTATTAGTTCCAGATATACATGTGATTCCACCATAAGGTCACCAGCCCATAAATGTAATAGCCCAAGTCCACTATAACTTTAAGCAATATAGAAGAATCATAGATGGTTGGTTTTGGTTATATAATACATCTTTGTGGGCTTATTCACTAATACGATACTTCTACATTTTCTTTAATCTTTGTCGAAACGCTTACAATAAAAGTTTGGGAGATAAAGAACAAAGAACATTCTTGACCTATTTGAATTTATTGTGATTGTCTATTGTACACTAGCATGGAATCTAGAGAAAACGGAACACTATCTTCGAATGTAAACTTTGATATATATTGAATTGATTTTATGTTCATAACAAATGCATTTGGTATTTGGATTTACCTCAAGCTCAAGGGCATGGAGGAACCCTATAAAAGCCATGTTCAATAGTGGAGTAATGCTTATGTCAGCAAATTGTCATACATATTAATTTTGTAAAAGAATACTGATTAGTGCTCTGATTACGCGAAAGACTAAAGTGGGTGATAAATCAAATCCTCCATTAACAAGTGGAAGTTACAATACCTTTTAAGCATATAATATACACATATATGAAAGAGAAAGTTTCCACCTTGTTTAATCCTTTAGGCTCAAGTATATTTTTGGGATATGATTTCATTGCTACTAGCCTATGTTTTCCTCACTCTTTTGTCAAAGACTCAATAAAGCATACAAGGCGTTCAAGTCCATGTATTTGTCGAGGCTGGACCTGAATGATGAGGCGTCGTTTGTTCAATCTCAATCATGCAGATTTTTTGTTCTAAAACTATCATGTAGATTTTCTAATATGAATATGCATATTCTAGAACATAATTCTATAAAGCCACTGAATCTAAAGCAAGACATATAATATCCAATATATATCTAGACACGGCGAAGCAAATGAAGGGATCATATATAATGAATTAAGCGAAGCAAATGTCATATATGCATCCACCATTTCCTCATAAATTTTTTTAGAAGAATTTGAATAGTAACAATGAAGGGATCTTTGAACCTTAATGTGCTCTGTTTCTCTTTGTTTCTCTTTGTGTTAGGTGTTACTCTCTATAGGAGGCACTGTTGTATTTGGTTCAGTCCCAAGGTTTCTTGGACTTATTAACGAAGGTATGTGTTGTTTAAAAAAAAAAAAAAAAAAAAA